ACAGAAAAGGGTTGGATTCGGCCTAGTACCTCCCCCTCGACTCACCAGTACTATTTGTCCCGGAAAAAGGGGGGACAATGAGGATGTGCATTGATTATCAGGGCCTCAATGCCATCACTATTAAAAACGCAGAGCCTCTACCACGCATCAACGACCTATTGGATAGGGTGCAGGGATGTAAGTACTTCACTAAGATAGATTTGAAGTGCGGCTACCATCAAATTGCCATTAGACCAAAAGATTAGCACAAAACTGCATTTCAGACCAGGTACGGTCTCAAGTTTGTGGTGATGCCTTTTGGGCTTTGCAATGCATCGGGAACATTCCAGCATGCCATGAATAGGGTCTTTCATGACTACTTCGATAAGTTCACCGTCATGTACCTCGACGGTATACTTATCTTTAGTAGGACTGTCGAGGAGCATGCCCAACATGTAGAAACCGCATTTTCACTCCTGCGACAACACAAGTATAAGATCAACTTAGAAAAATGCGAGTTTGGTCGCACTAGAATCTTGTACTTGGGTCATGAGATATCCACAAAGGGATTAGGCTCCAAGATGCACAGGTGGCTAGCATTCGTGACTGGCCACGACCCCAGTCTGTGACTGAGGTCAGATCATTCAAGGGATGTGTGGCTACTATCGTAACTTCGTGAAGAAATATAGTACGGTGGCCTCCCCTTTGACTGATCTAACTCGCCTTGACACACCATGGGAATGGACAGACGCATGTGAGGCTGCTTTCAAAAGGTTCACGTACACTCTCACACATCATGAGATTCTCATGGTCCCTGATTCGGAGAGGCCATTTGTTGTGACCAGTGACGCAAGTCAATATGGCATTGGTGCAGTGCTGGCCCAACAGCAAGGGAAGAAGTTAAGGTCGATCGATTACATCAGTAAGAAGATGTCATCGAAGAAATTGGCAAAGTCCACCTATGAAAGGGAACTCTATGCCCTTTACAAAGCCCTTGTCCACTGAAGACACTATCTGCTTGGAAGATTCTTCTATTTGAGAACTGACAATCAAACACTCGAGTGGATCAAGACACAACCTGTCCTCTCTGACGCACTCAAACACTGGATTGAAGTCATAGACCAATATGACTTCAAGCTAGATTACATAAAGGGAGAGTACAACAAGGTTGCTGATGCGCTGTCACGTAGGGCAGACTACCTAGGTGCGCTGATTACTGAATTTGGTTTATCTGATGATGTAACTCGGTCTTTGGTGGAAGCCTACAAGGAAGACCCCGTCATGATGGACATCATACCCAAACTTGAGGCCCAAAACAAGGCCACATCTGACGAGTTTGGTGGACAGTTTACACTTTCTGGAGAAGGCAGGTTTTAAAAGGTTGTGTGTTCCTTCTAGAGAGATTCTTCGTAGTTAGTTTCTAGGAGAGTGTCACGACGCAACCGGTCACTTCGGCAATAAGAAGACTAGTGCTAATTTAGTGCAGCGTTTCTCGTGGCCTAATATGCTTGACGATGTAAAGAAGTGCGTACAGACTTGTCAAGTCTGTCAGCGGGACAAGCCGTGGACTCGAGCTCCGCTTGGGTTCTTGAAGCCATTGCCCATTCTTGCAGGTCCAGGAGAGAGTGTCTCCATGGACTTCATGGATACCCTCGTGACCGGCAAGAGTGGCAAAAGGCACATATTCGTCATAGTTGATAGGTTTACGAAATACGTTGGACTAATCCCTATGCCGGAAACAGCGAAAACAGAGCATGTCATAAGTTATTCATGAATAACTGGATGCGCGACTTTGGACTGCCCAAAACCATTGTCATTGACATAGATGTCAGATTCACAAGTGAAATGTGGAAAAAGGCTGCTGAACAGATGGGCGGTCAACTCCAAATGACTTCGGGGAATCATCCTGAAGCAAATGGTCAAGCGGAACATATGAACCGTGTGGTGCAGCATCTGCTAAGGCATTACATCAAGCCCAATCAAGATGACTGGGATGAGAAACTTCCTCTCATCGCCAGTATATACAATAACGTTGTACACAGCACCACCGGCGTCAGTCCCAACCAGCAGCATTTGGGGTGGAAGCCTAGAACTGATCTAGACTCCCTTCTACCTGAGAACCGACCGACTGCAACTCCTGGAACCATTGAATTTGGTGCCAGTATGAGAAACTGTTGCAGCAGACTGTCGAGCATATCAAAAAGTCTCAAGAGGCAATGATTGCCTCTAAGAATAAGCATAGGCGACAATCCACATTTCAGGTAGGGGAACGTGTTTGGGTAAAGGCTAATGAACTGGGACAGGAGTTTGGCATCTCTAGGAAGTTAATGTCGCTGTACTTTGGTCCATGGGAAGTCCTAGACATTGTGGATAGTGATCTAGATGGTCCCTCGTACGTCATCAGAATCCCTGGTCATCTGCGCACTTACCCTGTATGTCACGCTTCCAAACTTGCACCTTTTGCTGAGACAGATCTGTTCCCAACAAGAAGGTCAATGCTGCCCCCAACCATGGATGGCCACGTGGATGTTGATGACATCTTGCAACACAGAGATTTGCCTGTTCCCAAGCCTGCTGGCAGGGGTAGACCGCCCAAACCTATGAGGGAGTACCGGGTCAGGTTCAGGCATCATACGGATCCAAAAGAAGATCGTTGGTTCACAAGACAGGAGCTTGTCAAGACAGCACCTCAGATCGTGGCTGAGTGCGAACGAAGACTGAAGGGGAAGGCACCTGGGTAGAAGTATCTCAGCGGACTTTCGAAGCTGAGGGGGACGAGGAACGGGCCTCGCGGAGCCCTTATCAGACATACAAGTGTTCTGGGCTGTGGCCCCCAGCAAGCCTTGTGCCCGCCCTAAGTGAAGGCGGACCCACCTCATTCATTGGCATCACATCTCCATTCCTTACAAACAGATACACCGAGCATCAGGTAGTAGCTGGTTTCCAAAACCGTAGGTTAAGGGTTCGAATCCCTATAACCCTCTTCTCGGAAGCATGTCGAGCATAAGACTTGCCTCATTCAACTCTTACATGCATTCTACTTTGATGCGAACGCTCATCGGAACAACAAGAGCTCATGAAGCGGAAGCTGTGGAGTTCAACGAGCCATCACAGTAGCTAGGCGTTAAGTGGTCTAGTAAAGAGCCGGCCATAGCTTGCAGGTAGAAAGTAGACGAAGAAGGGGGTATCACCTTGGAACTCAACGGCCGCTTAGGAATGGAACCCAAGTTCGATTCCTGACACAATCAGATATACACACTACAACAGCTCTGAATTACCTGGGGTCCGTCAGTTCAATGATGATATCTAAAGGCTGTCGCTGCAATGAACCCAGTCAGGAGAGAAGCTCGTCAATGTCAAGATGCAGTATGTCTCAGCGCTAATGCAATGTCTCCAAAAATCGTACAAGTAATCAGGTAGCCCAATGTCACGTCGCCAGAGAAGAAGATGAGAAGAGGGAGAGGAGACTTAGAAGGTGGAAGAGAAGTAACCATCAGACTAGCAGATAGGTCTCCCTCAGAACCTCCTTCTCCTTCGGGCATCCCCCTTCGCCACATCAGTAGACAGTCCCCTCTGATACAATCTGACAAAGAGCAGGTCTCATCATAGCGCTTGGCAGCACAGACAGCATCTGAAGACGAACAGCAATGCGCAACAATGATCGGTGGCAGACAGGTAAGCTTCCCACAATCTCACAGCCCTGATCCTCCTCCTCACCGATGTCTCATCAATCTCGTAGACAGAGTGGCCAATGCAACGTCAGCATGGTCTCTGGTCCAGCTGGCGCCAAAGACAGAGAGGGCGCCAGCATCAAGTAGTCGCAGAGCAGTCTCGCGTCATCGTCCAATGTCAAGCCAGCGCAGAGCCAGCAACGAGCCAGCATTGTGCCAGCGTAGTGCTAGCATCCAGCCAGCGTCGAGCAGCAAGTGCAAGACTGAATGTCGGTCAACAGGGGCTGGGTCAACTTATAGTGTTGACTCGAGATTGACCAGCCTCTGGTCTCTCAGATACAATGGCCCAGATTACTCTGCAGCCAATGGCTTGGATCCCTTACAGTTGCAGATTTCCACCTGGTCTCGATCCCTTACGGATACCTGCAAACAGCCAAAGGTGTGTGTCTGATTGACGGCTTGGACCGGGTCCGCATTGACTTTGACTCGTGAATCTGAATTTCCGAGCTGCTGTGGACTGTTGACTTTCTTCGGTCAACTGTCGCACGTTGGGCCTCTGAAGGCCAGTTTCCAGGCCTTGTTTCGGGTGCCCACAGCAGCAGACCTTCTCCGTGGGTTGTTGCATGACTTGGGCGTGGCCTATGACCCCTGTTTTGGCCTCTTTGACCACGGTAGCATCCCACGGCCGCGACTGGTGCATGATTTCAGCTAAGTTATTGCAGTCGCCCTTACAGAAAAAAAAAAAAAAAAAAAACAGAAGGAAGATAAACAAAAAGCCCGGATCCCAGCACTTGCTGCTCCCCACTAATAGATCGGAGGGTGTTTTTTTTTTTTTTTTTTAAACCACCGCTACCTTTCCCATATGTCAGCCGTGGGCATCTAGTAGCCTACTCCTGAAAAATAGCCGCCACGCCGCTGTCGATATTTTTCATGGACGGTGTGTGGCAGCTGAATTTGAATTTGAGGCCCACGGCCCCACATATGAGAAAGGTAGTGGTGGTTTAAAAATAAAGATAAACAAAAAGCAATCAATTTAGACTGGAAGCCCTTACTTAGCTGCTGAGGTATGAAGTTGCTGCTGAGGTATGAAGTTTGGGGTTGAGGCAGAGGGTGATAAGCAGAAGTTTTTTTTTTTTTTTTTTTTTAAACACAAAGCTCCCATCTATTGGTGGGGAGCAGCACCTGCTGGAAACCGGGTCCAGTGTCCCGTAGACATCCATGTCAATCCATTACTGGGCAATTTACCCGGCTTCAGCTAAGTAACAAGGCTAAGTATGCTAGGAAACAAAAAAAAAAAGAACTAGCAGCAAACAGAGAGTTATGTGAAAATGTCCACAAGCAGGGGGATACAGTCTTGCATCTGGAAAATATTAGCTTCCAGACTGCTCATCTTTTGTTCCAGCTTCTCCAATGCGATGTACAAGTCACTGTCCCTGAGATTTGCTTTCTTTGCCTTCAGTGCATCTTCCTTCTCCTTGAGGATAATCTTGAAAGCCTCCCTTTTCTTTATTGCTTTCACTTTTTGGGCTTCCATTTGCTGCATTTCACAATGAATGCCAAAGATAAGTTAGCACAAAGTCTGATTAGAGTAGACACTCTTTCGCAGCCCCCTTTTTGTCTGTGGGGTTTTCTTTCTCTAAATAAACACTTATGCATGCCCCTCGGGATATCAGCTAAAAGCCTAAAACTGGAACTCTACGAAGTAGATTAGCATGGCCACTGCACAAGGACGAGACACACAAACTGATAAAATATTTCATGCGGGTGGGCGATAGCCTGTTGTGGTTTTCGTCACAGCTATCCCACATGGTTAACATAGACCCTTACTTTCAGCTCCTGGGTAATGGATCTCCCGCACTGGCTGGTGCCCACCTCGGGGTATAAGTTGTGGGGCAGTGGTTGGTGCCCATCTTCTATTCGGTGGAAATGCTACCCTCTTCCTCCAAACACCAAGCACCCTCATTATTACGGTATCAGACCAGAAAGATAGCTTGTGTACATTCACGATCAGGGTGCATTACCTTCGGGGGAAGACAGTAGGGGCGGCAAAGGGATAAGGAAAGGATTGTCATTCTTTTCCTGAATATTTTTCTTAACTTCCCAGAAGCTCCTTGAGAACACTAATATCCCTCCCATTTGGAAACATGAACTGGATTTGGGTTTTCGATTCCCATCTTCTGTTTTTTTCCCTTCTTGTTTTCATCCTTGCGCCGAAGCCATTCTAATCTTCACTGTATTGTTCCAATTTTAACGGATGTCCCCAAGGACTTTTCGGTTCCCATCTGCATTTCAGCCAAACTGATTCTGGGCTGAGCAGATGTCTCCTTTAGCCCTTCTGGCATGTCTGGATTTCTGGAGGGATGTGTCTGGAGTGCCCTGGCTGAACGTGTCTGGCTGGGTGGGCCAGACTCTACGGCCTGGTGACCAGTCAGGCCTGGTAACCAAGCCTGGTAACCAGGCTGCTGCACATCATAGTAAAATGGATGCTATGCACAGGAAAAGGGAACTGTTATGATCCTGGCTATCTTGAAGTGCAATAATACAAAGAAAGATAATGCCATCCAGTTGCAACTGAAATGAAAGAACTTGGAAAGAGAAATAGACAAAGGAAGAAGAAGAATAAAAAATGGAAAAAGAAGACGAAGATGTACACCAGCAAAGACCAATGTCAAATCCCCCTCCAAACCACCATCACCTTCAACCTCCTTATCTCCCCCAACCTCTTCAATTCAATAAATAATAAGAATAACAATGAAAGAATGAACCAGAACCAATGTCCGAATCTCCTCCTTACTCCCAGCAACACATGAGGTCTGCCATAGCTATGACGTACACCTTTCTCTACCTCCTACTGGTAGGTGGCTATGGCTGACTAGCGGAGTCCTGCTCATGACAACGCAAAGCTGATATGGCCCCTCTACTAAGGCCCCCATGCCTGACTCTGCCCTGAAGACTTCCTTGATGCAGCGCACCCCCACTGGGGTCTTCCAGGTGCAGCGAAGAAGATGAAGATGCCGTCCACCATAACCAGGTAAGTACCCCCGTCACTCTCCTCCTAGCCTACCTTCTTCCTTCTCCTCCCCTGGTCCACTCCACCATGGCTCTAGGTGGAGGTCCAGGTTGCCTCCTTCCTCCCCAACGCTGGCCTTGCCAAGTGCTCGCTCCAGCAGCGTGACGCCAAACTTGCACACTGCAAAATGAGCACTTCCCTCCTCCCAGAGATATACCGAGCGGCTGCCTCTTGGGCGCTGACTTTCCAGGCCACTCAGCCTCCCAAGCATCCGGTACATTCCTCCTTCCGAAGAGAAACATCATTGCAGGTCTGATATCGTCCCCTACAGGCCCTAGACTCAGACTACTGGACCAGTGCCCCTAGACCTAAGCCTACCGGACACCTGAAATTCACTCGGCCTCTAAAGGTACTAACTTTTTGTCTTCTTCTGCATACCTACCCGCTACCAAAGTATTTTCCTACCTATGTGGGCCTAGCCTACCCACCCGCTACTTGTGTTTTCCAACTACGTGGGCCTAGCCTACCGCTACACCCCGCTGCAATCCACAAAGACACAGCCACACATAAGTACCAGGCCCGAGGGCCTTCCAAGCATACAAGTACCCTGGCGGGTCACACACATACCCAAGCAATCATGCACTCAGACAAACACATGGAAACCCAGCAAGCACGTACACACAAAAACGGGAATCTCAGCAAGTCACACATTCCAGCGGCAAAACTCAGAAATCAGCAGAGTTCTCAGTCTGTGATTTTGCGGGTCATTACACAACCGAAAATCAGTCGCCGGCCCATGGGAGTAAAATAGGATTCCTTCATTATACGACAACCACCACTCTTATTTTACCCCCATGGGCCAGTGACTGATTTCCAGTTACCTTTCCTCCCCACACCAGTCCAATACCTTTGCTTGCCCGTCTGCTGATACAACAAATGGATATCTTTGTCGTGGAGAGTAGTGTTATGTGCTTGATTGAGTTTACATCCAGCATTGCATCCAAATGTTCCCATACACATATGTAATATGCAATAGCAGGAAGATTGGCGAGAGCAGATTCACACCAAGCCAAGGGAGAGATATGCACACTGGAAGCCAAAACCAAATATAGAATCGACAAATTGTTTTCAATTCTCAAATTTACCCCTGCTCTCGCCACACCTCAATCATACCCCCAGAATCTCAACCACGATTACAACTTCAGCACCCCCGTGCAACCTCCAACAGTTTTGACGAAAGTCTCTGAAACTTCTTCACCCATCTGCAGCCCTCGGGCATGGCGCTTACCAAACTACAGCGCCCACCACCTAATGTCCACCGTGTACCAGCGCTGATCCAGCGCACATCCCAAGCCCCCCCAATCAGGTAGCCCCTCCCAGGATTAGCAGCGCCAGTCCCTAGCATGAAGAATGTGATCCCCAACGTCAAGAAAAACTTGCCAGCCATGAGCAAGCTGGCAACTCCAACCTCCAAGCAGGACCATGATGAAGAGGAGGACGCGTGCCAGGGGAAACGACCACCTGCGCTGCATTCAAAGAGCTGGGCAACCCCCAGCTATGGCTGCCTCCGTCCCTCGCGAAGAAGAAAGTGTCTGCGCGCCTCAAAATAGAGCAGCCCTCTCTGCTAGTTCTACTAAGGCCTTGATCTGTGATGCGAGACCTAGGACGACACAAACTGCCAACCGGCCTACCTACCGCACCAGTCACGCTGTAGGAAAGTCAGAAAGAGCCTGCAATGTGCAATCAGACTCGTTCTCAAACACACTTTTCATGCATGTAAACAGCAACGCAGCATACTGGCGACATGCGCCCACTCAAAAACTCGGAGATATGGCTTTCAGACACGAGTTCACTCTCAATTGGCTATGGCGACTTCAGCGCCCAAACATCTTACTGTTCACATACACTGGATCACCCTGGATATCCCACACGCATCACTCTAACACTCGA